TCTTCCACCATCACCGTGGACAACAGCCTAGGAAGGGGCCTCTGGCAGGACCCAGATCCCAGCAGGAGCTCTTTTAAAACTCATTGAGGGGGCTGGGAAGGTGGCTCAGTGGTAGAGCGCTTGCCTTGCATGCATGGGTTCGATTCCTCAGCACTACATAAGCAAAAAGAAAAAAGCCAGAAGTAGAGCTGTGGCTCAAGTGGTAGAGCGCTAGCCTTGAGCTGAAGAGCTGAGGGACAGTGCCCAGGCCCACCCAGAGTTCAGGCTCCACGACCAGACCCCCCCCACCCCCCCAAAAAAAAAACTCATTGAGGGAGCTGAGTGACAGTGGCTCATGCCTGTAATCCTAGCTACTCAGGAGGCTGAGATTTGAGGATTGCCATTCAAAGCCAACCAGGGAGGAAAGTCCATGAGACTCTTATCTCCAATGAACCACCAGAAAACCAGAAATGGCGCTGTGGCTCAAGTGGTAGAGTGCTCGCCTTGAGCTGAAGAGCTGAGGGACAGCGCCCAGACCCAGAGTTCAGGCCCCACAATGGACCAAAAACAAAACAAAACAAAAACAACAAAAACCACTGAGAGGCTGGAAAGATGGCTTAGTGGTAGAGTGCTTGCCTAGCATGCATGAAGCCCTGGGTTCAGTTCCTCTATACCACATACACAGAAAAAGCTGAAGTGGTGCTGTGGCTCAAGCGCTAGAGTGCTAGCCTTGAGCAAAAGAAGCTCAGGGACAGTGTCCAGGCCCTGAGTTCAAGCCCCAGAAATGACAAAAATAGTAAATTAATTAATTAAATTAAAACTTACTGAATGGGCTCACAAGAGCTCAGACTGTCAGGGTCACAGACAGGATCTGAACTCAGCTCCCTTGGACTCAACTGTGCAGCCTCAGTTTCCCCCACTGGCAAGGGGGCCGTGTGGTGAGCCCTACAGTCCCACATCGTACCCCAGGCCGAGGCAGTGCATGTGTTACTCGGTGAGCAGAAGCCAGGCTGGGCAAGGGGTTTCTGTCTGGGGACACAAGGACCAGCATCGATGGGGGGGGGGGGGGGGGGGGGGCGGCACTAAGGCATCACAGGGTGAGGCCCCGGGTGCTCAGAAACATCCAAAAACACACAGGAAGACCCTTGGCAAAGAGCGGCCCCTCTGAACCCACATGCCGGGCCAAGGCGGGCCAGCCCTGTGCAGGAGGGCCGGGCGGGGTGGGGCAGTCGAGAGACGGCTTTCTGTTGCTCATCCCCAGGAAGCCAGGAAAAGGTCCTCAGCCAGACACAGTGGCCACCCTTAGACCCAGCACTCCGGAGCCCGAGGCAGGAGGACCAGAGGGGCTGCCCAGCAAGAACTGGAGTCAAAAGACAAAACAAGCTGGGCCCCGTGGCTCACGCCTGTAATCCCAGCTACTCAGGAGACTGCAATCTGAGAATCACAGCTGGAAACCAGCCCAGACAGGAAAGTCCACAGGACTCTTTATCTTCAATGAACCACCCAAAACGCAGAGGTGGAGCTGTGGCTCAAGGGGTACAGTGCCGGCCTTGAGTGAGGGAAAGCACTGAGTTCAAGTCCCAAGAGTGGCACAAAAACAAAACGTCTTTCAAGGAATGAATGGTAATACTCCAGCCACTTCCTCACTGTGATGATGACCGGTGCCTCAGTTTCCCCAGCCTTCCAGCGGGCACAGGTCAACTTCCTCTGCTCAGGCAGGAGCTGCCAAGATAGACATTACCAAACGCTGCCATGAAGACCAGCCGAGGCCCAGCGCACAAGGCAGGCGTGTCCCCAGAATGCGGGCCTACTGTGTGCAGCCACGGCCCAGCGCACAAGGCAGGCGTGCCCCTGCGGCCCACACCAGCCAGGGGTGGGTGTGGGCCTGCTGTGTGCCAGGCTGCAGGCAGGGGTGCGATGGGCTGGCATCACCACAGCCTTGTCCACGTCTGAGCCACACCAACTTCTTTTACCTCTAGACCTTCCCATCGGGATGGTGGCTTTCATCAGTGAACTCCTACATACCCATAAAACCCCATCCCTACATTCAAGCTTGGGGCCCAGCCTGGGAAGGTTTGTTAGCCACGGGTCTGTCACTGGTATTGTTCTTTTCGCTTCTGCAGGGGTGGTGAACCCTGAGGTCCAGGGGGACCTCTGCTAAACCCCTGCCTCTTTGGAGCCTCAGTTTCCCTCCATGGGCCCTGCAGGCCCGAAAGGGAAGGCTGGTCTGGTGTGAGGAAGCCAGGGACGGCGGCTGCGGTGCTGCTTCCCGGCACCAGCGCGGTTACGCGCCTGGGAGTCTCCAGGCCCTGCATGGAGCAGGTGAGCAGCCTGGCCACGCAGGGGGGTCCTGGGGAGGAAGGAACAGGGAGCCCTGGGGGAAGCGGGGGCCCCAGGGAGAGTGGGGGACCCCAGAGGGGAGTGAGGGGCTCTGGAAAGGAATGGGGAGTCCTGAGGAGGAGCAGGAAGGAGCAGGGAGGATGTGGGCCCTGGGAAGGAACCGGGGGTCCCAGGGAGGAGCAGGGGTCTCCTCAAGGAACCCCAGGAAGGGGAACACCTAGCCCTGAAAACACACACACACACCCGCCCCCCCCCCCCCAGCTTCTCACCTTCTGCCCCGCAGGCTCCGACCAGCAGCATGAGGAAGAGACCCACGGGCCCCACCACGGACACCATGCCAGGTCCCCGGGTGAGCGCCATGCTTGGTAGCGGCCTCCTCCCCGAAGGGATCGGCCCCGTCCCTCACACAGAGGCCACGGCCTGAGCGTCCAAAGGCGCAGCGTCTGCGGAGACAACAGAAGGGCCATGAGGAAGTGGGAAATGTGGAGGCCTTCCTGGAGGGGTGCAGCGGCTAGGAGGAGGAGCGCCCGGTACCCGCAATGGCTGATGGCTGTGTCCCTAAAAAGAAGGAACCCTCTTCAGGGAAAGGTGTGTGATGAGGGCCGGACGGGCCCAGGGCAGAGAACCTCAGGACTAGGATGGAGAACCCCCGCGGGCAGTGCGGCGGCTCCCGCCTGTAATCCCGGTATAGGGAGGCTGAGGCCGGAGGATGGCGCGGCCTGCCTGGGCCTCCTACCAAGATCCCGTTGCAAAGAGAAAACCAAGTGAGGCTCTGACTCTCTGAGCATCTCGGGGGTGCCCTGACCCCGACATGTGACTCAAACACACTGTCCCCAAACACACGCCGGCCGGCCGCTCGCTCCCGCCCACTCGGGTGGCTCCCGTGGCCCCCAGCCTGCGCCCTGCTCTGCTCTCCATGCAGGGCGCAGCGCTTGGCTCGGCGGCCGTTTCCCCAGACAGCTTGGTCAGAGGCAAGCACAGGCTCCTGGCCTCGGCCCCAAGTCCTCTCCTCGGCCACACCCCGTCTCTCCCATCTCCACTTCGGCCAAAGCCAGGCAGGGGGTTGGGGGGGGCCGGGGATCTCCGAGGCCCACCCGCACCCCACCCAGGCCGTTTCCCGGGCGGGTCCTGGCCATGGCCACAGCCCAGAGCCACCCTGTGATTCTGCCGCCCAAAATACCCTCTGTGGTCACCCAGCCCAGGGCCACTCTGAGGCCAGCTGACTGTCACAGCTGACCATGAGTGGCCCAGTGACATCCCAGGGGACAGGAGAAAGCAGGTAGGGCAGGGGCTCAGCACGCACAGTCAGATCACAGCCACACAAACCCCAGACGCACACAGTCAGACCACAGCCACTCAAAACAGATCCGCACGGTCAGCCACATAGTGGCAGGCTCGGGCCACGGGGCCAGGCCTGAGCACCACCCTGAGGAGTTGGCTTGAGCCAGAGGGTACAGGACACCTGCTCCCGTGGGACCCCAGGCCGGGGAGTCACACAGGGACGGACGTGCACACAGCACACAGTTGATCACACCAGCCAGGTACCACAACACCCTGCCTGCCACACACGCATGCAGCCAGGCTGCACACAGTCAGACCACGGAGATACTCGTGGACTTGGCTGGGTGGGGGACACAGGATGGACAAGTGTACCCACGCCCAGCCCCCATCCCTGGTGTCTTCAAGGAGGGAGGGAGGCGGTGGCCACTGGGGCTGGGTGACCACAGCGCCTGCCCCGCCCAGGGCCATCTGCGTGGCTGTGGCCACAGATGAGGGTTCAGGCCCAGGTCACTAGGGTCAGCTGGCAGGCTAGAGAGGTGCTTGGGAAACTGAGGTAAAAAAGACTGCCCACATGCCAGGGGCCATGGGTGGGGGTCACCTGCAGACGGGGCACAAGAACAGGAGGTCCCCATCCCAGCCGCCTCTGTGGACCTCACGGGAACCCAGGAAGACCCCCCTCACATCAAGTGGGCACCAGCCAGGGCCCACAGGGGCCAGGCAGCAGCCCCCCAAGCCCAGACACCCACCCCACTGCCCCCAGAACGGCCCGGGACCCTTCAGAAACCCATGGCCCGTCCTTCCTGGCAGATTCCCATGTGCAGTCTGCTCTAGGTGATAAAAATACCAGCAAGCCCTCCACCTGCCCACCAGAACCAGCTTCTGCTCATGCTCTGCCCTTCACAGCTGCCAGGGGGCACCAGTGAGCTGAGTCCGATCCTGCCCCTGCCCCTGCCCCCAGCCCTCTAAGGTGCTCACCTCCCTTGGGGTCAAAGCCCAAGACTCCCTGTGGCCTACAGGCTTGGCACCAACTGCTCTGTCCCCTTCCTGTCTCCTCCCCGCTACTCCAGCCACACGGGCTCCCTGCAGCTCCTCCACCACTGGGCTCCATCCTGCCCCAGGGCCATTGCACATGCACCCAGATTTAATGTTATTAATTGGCTGGAAAGTAACGACTGAATGGAAACAGGAGTCTCCCCGCGCAAGCAGCAGCACGCACAGGCAGCAGCACGCACAGGCCGGCCAGGAGCCCGGCAGGGAGGGCCACAGTGAGCCTGGCGCCCAGCCAGTCCTCCACCTTACCCCTCCCATAACAAGGTGGCCTGGAGTGCTTGCCGGACATAACTGGGATGGGGAAACCGAGGCAGGGGAGCGGTCCTCAGACCCCAAGGGGTGGGGGTCACTCAAAGGGACTGGCTGTCCACTGAGCGGCAGTGGATGCTGGGTGGCAAGGCAGCGAGCGCCTCTCGGAGCAGACTGGGGGTCGGCAGGACTGGGTGGCCCCCCTCTGGGAAGGGGCGGGTGGATCCCTGGATGAGGACCCCGGGGCTGCACTTGTGAGGGGAGAGGGGGAGCGGCACCCATTCTAAAAGGGCGCCCGCCGGGGCACGGGTCACGCGATGCGGCTCTGAGAGCCCACGCAGGCAGGCAGGCGGTCTGCGGAGAATAAAGGGGGATTATAGTCCAGGCCAAAGCTGGCAGCCCACAGGCTCTGTGTCACCAGGCGTGTCCCGGCCACCAGCTCAAGTCCATCCTCTTTGGTGCTCGCCAGCCCCTCCCTCCTGAGCCTCCATGCCTGGGCCCCAGGAGGAGCTGTCCCTTCCGGGAACCAAGGGTCCAGCCTCCACTGACTAGCGATTTGCACTGGGAGAGCACAAAGGCTGGGGCACTGCCCCCCCCCCCCCCCCCGCAGTGAGAGGTAGAGTGCCAGCCAGGCCCAGCCCAGAGAGAACAATAGTCCCATCTGCTCTGTGCTGGTGATTCTTTCCTGCCTGACAGGTGGGGAAACTGAGGCATGCTCATGGAGGAGTGAGCCAGAGCCCATCCTCCTCACCAACCACCCCACCCTGGCCAGCCTGTCCTGGGCTGCTTCAGGGGAGACTGGGAGAGGCCCACGGGTCTCACACCTGCCAGGGCTCCCAGGAAGTCCTTCACAGAGAACACCCTGACAGCAGACCCCGGCACCAGGCACCCCCGCCCCAGGCTGAGCCCCCCACCGAGCCCTGCTCTCCCTCTAAAGCCTTCCATAGGCCCCACCATCCCCAAAGCCTCAGCCTCCAGAGCTGAGATGTCAGCTGAGCTGTGCCCTCCCCAGGAAGCCCCCTGGCTGCCCAGGGCTGGGCCAGGACCCTCCGGAGCTTCCTGTACCTTGGGGACTCTGCCAACCCAGCCCCAGTCCCACCAGAGGGGCTACGGAATGCCCAGGAATGCAACAAAGCATCTGCAGGCATTGGTCGCCTACTGCAGGCCCAGCCAGACACTTTATGCATGAGAGGGATACTGAGGCTACCAGGCAGGGAGAGAGCCAAGCTGAGCTGGGCTACCAAGGTGTGCCCTCTGCATCTGCTCTGGTGTGTGTGTGGGGGGGGGGGGGGCAGCCAGGAGAGGCTGGAGGAGGCAGGGGGAGGGGGAGGTTCCCGGGGGACTGGGGGAGGTCTGGGAACAGGGAGGAGGGAGCTGCCTCACCAGGCCCCACTAGCCAGCCAAGGACTGACCCCAGGCCTTCCCTGGACCCCCGTCCCAGGTTTTGTGATTAAAGTCACAGGGGCCCCAGGAGAAGTCCCCCGGGCTCCACAGACACAACTGCCAGGAGGAAAACTTCGCTGTGGTTTGCGGGGGTCCCTCCCGGCCCTGTCCCCCCTTCCTGTCGGCCCGGGCCTGGCCTGGCCCCCCTGCGCCCCGGCCCAGCACCCCTGCGCCCCCGGCCCAGCACCCCTGCGCCCCCGGCCCGGCCCCCTGCGCCCCCGGCCCGGCCCGGCCCCCCTGCGCCCCCGGCCCGGCCCCTGCGCCGCGGAGCCCGCGCTGGGCCCGCCCCCCGGCGGGAGGGAGGAGGGGAGGGGAGGGCGCGGGGAGGGGGGGCGGGGGGAGGGGAGGCGCCCAGCATAACGGTCCGCACTTTGCACTTTTCCAAAGTCCCCGCGCAGGCGGGCGGGCGGGCGGGGCGGGGCCGGCGGCGCGGGGTCGCCGCGTCCGGGCCGGGCTCGCGCGCGCGGCGCAGGCCCCCCGAGCCGCGGGGGTCGCAGGTTTGGGGGAAGGGGAGGGGGTCGAGAAGCGGACAAAGCCCCGGCGCGGACGCGAGCCCGGGCGGGAGGGCGGTCCCGGGCGCACTCACCCCGCGGCGTGAAGGTCGGGGCCCGCGTCCCGGACGCCCGCGCGACCCTCGGGATCCCTCGGGGCCTCCGTCCGCCCGGCCAGAGCGCCGCGCGCCGCGAGGACTCGGGAGAGGCCGCGGCCCTGCGCTGGGCCCGGGGGCGGGGCGAGGCGCGGGGCGGGGCCTGGGGTGGGCGGGGCGACGAATGGGGCGGGGCCCGGGATGGGACGAAGAGTGGGGTTGGGCGGAGCACGTGGAGGGGCGTGGCGGAAACGGGATTGGGTGAGCTAAATGGATGGGCGGGGTTTGGATGACGCTAAGGGCAGGGTCCCGGCCGGAAGTGAGTTGGGCGGGGGGGAGGCCCCCCAGGGGAGCCCCGCCAGGGGTGCGGGGACCCTGAGTGGGGGTGCCAGGGCAGCGCCGGGGCTGCGCGCGGTTCCCCGCTTAGGGCGCCCCGGCCCTGTGGCTCTGACCGTGGCCATGGCAACGCGCGAGGGGGCTGGAGCCAGTCCCAGCCCCCCCAGCAGCGTCGGGACCATGCCGCCTCCCCGCGCGTCCGCGCCCGGCCCAGGCTGCAGCGGGGTGCGGGGCCCCGAGGCCAAGGCCCCGCCCCAGACACAACTCCCGCGCGCGGGGGCCAGATTGGAACCAGATGCGGTGGCGGGCCAGGCCGGGGACACCCGATCCGGACGCGGCGGGCGCGGGGAGGGGAGCGCGGGGCGCGGGCCGACCCTGCGGGACCCCGGGCCCGGCCCGCCGGGGGCCGCGCGCAGGCCCAGCCCCGCGGGCTCTCAGCCCGGGTGGGGTGGGGGTCCTGCTCCCGCTGGAGGAACCGGCGCACTAAACGCACCCAGAGTGACGGAGGGTTTACCACAACGGAAAGCCCGTCGGACTCTTCTGGGGACCCTTCCACCCACCCTGCAGCAGCTGCCCCCCCACTCCCTCAGGCAGGGGCCCTGCCCCCTCCTCCACATCCAGTGCAGAAAACCCGCTCACTCTAGAGTGGCCTGAGCCGGGGAGGCTGGCTTGCACACTTGGCCTGAGCCGGGGAGGCTGGTTTGCACACTTGGCCTGAGCCAAGCAACCTGGGGCACACGTGAGGACCACCTCCACACACGCAGACCGCACCTCTCCATGAGACACAGTGGGGCTTCAGGAAGGTGGACAGTGCACGTGTGCACACATGCATTCACCAGTCCTGGGGCCTGAGCTCTGGGCCTGGGCGCTGTCCCTCAGCTCTTTTGCTGGCACTCTCCTGCATGAGCCACAGCTCCACTGCCTGTCTTCCGGTGGCTCACTGGGATAACAGTCTTTCCTGCCCAGACTGGCTTTGAACTGCCATCCACAGATCTCAGTCTCCTGAGTAACTAGCATGACAAGCATGAGCCTGGGTTTGAAGCAGGACCCTCCCCACCTAGGGCCCCAACATGGGGCAATGGCTCTCTGGGCCTCAGTTCCCCAGTCAAGTGCTCTGGGTGTCTATGTGGTCCAGACCCTGGGCTGTGGTCCAGACCCTGGGCTGTGTGACAGACATACACATCTCTGTGCCACCCAGGCCCCAAAGAAGTATTCAAGGGATGGCCAAGCCTTCTCCTAGCATCTCTCGCCCATCTCCCTGGAGACAACCTCCTGTCCCCATTTGATGACAGTGACCGCAGAGGGCGGGGTGCACAGCCCCATGGGGCCAGATGGCCTCCTCCTCAGCTGGGCCACCCCATCTGGCCAGATTCCCTCCCCCACCACCACCACATCCCCACCTTGACTGTCTTGCCAGCCTGGCCCGGGAGGACAGCACCCAGCACCCAGCACTCAGCACCCAGCACCCAGCACAGGGCCTTGACACACAAAGGTGGAGGGAGGGGGAGAGGGAATCCTTGGGAAACATGGGTGTAGCCCCACCAGGGCGCTCCCCCCAGCCCTGTCCCACACCCACACAGCACAGGACCCCACATAACCAGTGCTGCTCATTAAATGCCAAGCCCGGTTCTGCACACTGCAGCAACCGAGGCTGACAGGTCCCGGCTGGTGCCCCGGGCCAAGAACCAAACACCGCTCAGGTGTCATAAGGTGGTGTTTTGTGGGACCGTGAATGGTGAGGGCAGATGAAACTCACACAGAAAAGATGGAGGAACGAGGAATGTGACATTTGTGCAAACAGGGAGAGAGATAAGGGAGCCGGGTGCTGGTGGCTCACGCCTGTCACCCTAGCTACTCAGGAGGCTGAGATCTGAGGATCGGGGTTCAAAGCCAGCCTGGGCAGGAAAGTCTGTGAGACTCTTTTTTTTTGGATCCGGTTGTGGGGCCTGAACTCTGGGCCTGGGCGCTGTCCCTCAGCTCTTCAGCTCAAGGCTAGCGCTCTACCACTTGAGCCACAGCGCCACTTCTGGCTTTTTTTTCCCTGCTTATGTGGTGCTGAGGAATCGAACCCAGGGCCTCAGGCATGCAAGGCAAGCGCTCCACCACTGAGCCACCTTCCCAGCCCTCTGTGAGACTCTTATCTCCAAAAAAAAAAATCACTCAGAAAACCGGAAGTGGTGCTGTGGTTCCAGCGGTAGAGCGCTCGCCTTGAGCTGAAGAGCTGAGGGACAGCGCCCAGGCCCAGAGTTCAGGCCCCACAACTGACCAAAAAAAAAAAAAAAAAGTAGTATGCACGGAGCCAGGCACTGTGGCTCACGCCTATCATCCTGACTACTCAAGGGGCTGAGATCTGAGAATCAAAATTCAAAGCCAGCCTGGGCAGGAAAAGTCCCTGAGACAATCTCTAACTAAACGCCAAAAAACCAGGAGTGGAGCTGTGTGGCTCAAGTGGTAGAGTGCTAGCCTTGAGCAAAAAAGCTCAGGGTCAGCACCCAGGCCTGGCCAAAAAAAAAAAAAAAAGAGGTGTGCACATCTAGGAGAAAAAGAGGAATACAAACAGGGGATGTACAAAGGCCCTGGGGCAGGATGGAGCCCGATGGGTTGGAGGAGCAGCAGAGGATGGAGGGGCAGAGAGGAGGAGGGGTGGGGCGGGCTCTGTGGGCTGCAGAGAGGCTTGGGCTTTGGGCCTGAGGAAGCTGGAGCTGTGCAGGGCTGCGGGCAGGGAAGGCAGGGTTGGTCCAGGTGCATGATGAGGGCTGGACCAGAGGAGGCGGAGGGGGTGAGGTGGATTCTGGGTAGGCTGCTGGTTATACGACTGGGGTAAGAAGGGAAGTAGGAATAAATTCGGTGGGGTTTGGTCCCAGAGCCTTCACAGTGAGCACTGCGGCCTCCAGGGAGCCCACCAGGAGCCCTTCAGAGCCTGAACCCCACCCCCCAAGCCCCAACCTTTCCCTCACTACTTCCTGTGGCCACAGGCAAAGGCCACTGCCCGGAGTGGGGGAAGGGGATGGGACGTGGGGCCCGGATCACGTCAGTTCCTGCAGCTGGGACATTTGGACACAATTTTTTTTTTTCAAAATAACTTTTTCTTCTAATTATAAAATAGGCACGTGCAGCGGAAAACGAGAAAATCAGCAAGAAGAAGAAAATAAAAATTACCCACAATCCCATCGTGGGCCTGAATAGAAGCCGTTAGCGCCCGGCCATTTTCATTCATTCTTTGCCAGAAATGTGGCACCCACTGGGTGCTGCGGGGGGGGGGGGGGGTTCTAACTGTCTGTGAGTCTCTTGGAAGAGGTAACATTGGAGTATAGACAGAGGCACAGGCAGACCTTGCCATCCACCTGCTCCGGCCTCAGCTGCTGGGATTACAGGCGTGTACCACCATGTCCGGCCCCTTCCTCCATGCCCACCCTGGGGACCCATGTTACCTACGGTCTAGATCCACGGCCTCCACCAGAGCTGGGTCCCCTCTTTCTGGCACAAAACTCCCTGACAGAAGGCAATTCCATCAGAATGTGTTCTATGCCTTTGAATCTGCTCCCCCCGTCCCCCCGCAGGACCGTGGGGCCCTCAGACTTCACTACACGCCTAGCCAGAGCCGACACCCCGGGCCCGGTTCCACGACTTCATTTTTGATGCCAAATCCCCTTAAAGTCTCAGGGATGTCTAACCACCAAACCCTGCACCTTCCGGCAAGAGGAACTGGTACAGACACTCTCTATGAGCGGCCTCCCTCCCAGCCTGGCATTCGGCACCTCGGGCGCCGGGGCGTGTGCTGACCAGCCAGGGGCTGGTGGGCCCAGCCCACGGCACCCTGAGGACATGCCACCCCCAGCTCCAACACTGCCCTTTTCACCTGCCGCCCCCACGCGTCCCTGTACCACCCTCTCCGATCCCATCTGCCTTCAGGTGCGGCTAGATCCAGCAACGCCACCCTGCCTTCCGGTGGGGCTGACCAGCCTGTGACTCCCCCTGTCTTCCGCGTTTCAGTAGAATGGGATGGTAACTAAGATCTTCCAGGGGCTCAGGATGCCCTCCTGCAGCCCCCCCCACCCCCACTGCACTGGAAATACTCTTTCTCTCCAAAAACCTTTCTCCCTTTCTCCATGTTCCCTTCTCAACCTGTCCCCACCCACTATTGCTCCCTGCAGCTTCCAGAGGACGCCCGTGCACACCAAGTCTGGTCCCAGCCTCCTTCTGCCCACAGCCCTCCACAGCTCCCACCGTCCACAGGGGCAAAGCCCAAGTTCTCCTTGCAGCCTCCCCTCCCCCAGGGCCCTGTGGGACCAGCCCAGCCCCCCCCCCCCTCCTCCCTCTCTGCCGCTCCTCCAACAAGCCAGGCTCCGTCCAGGCTCTGTATGGCCCCGGGGCCTTTGCACAGGCTCCACGTTTTCACAGTTATATCTTTCTCAGTGCTGAGTTCTCCGTCACTCCCTAGTCTGCCACCGGGGTTTGGAACCACTAGCACCTTTATCAGCTAGTCTAGATTTGTGCTGTCCAGTTCAGAAACTCTTACACACATGTGACAGACAGGTTAGGGCCATTTAGCTCCCAGCCAAAGGTGCAGGCCAGGCCTGTAGCAGTGTCAGTGTTGGTGGAGCTCAGAAAACTACACAGGGAGACTTTGTTTCAAAGATATCTAAAGGGAGGGAGGGGCGGTGGAGATACAAACTGCCCACCCTGTAATCCTAGCTACTCAGGAGGCTGAGATCTGAGGATCAGGGTTCAAAGCCAGCCGGGGCAGGAAAGTCCGTGAGACTCTTTATCTCCAATGAACCACCAAAAAGCCAGAAGTGGAGTTATAGATCAAGTGGTTGAGCACTAGCCCCAGCACAATAAAAGGCGGGGAGGGGAAGGAGAAGTGGAAGAAGGTGGTGAAGGATCCAGTGATCAGCTGCCGCAGAGCAAATGCACATGGAGGAGAGGTGTGCAGCATGCTGGGTGTTTTGTCAATAAAGTTTTACTGGCACACGTCTACTGCCGTGGTCACCAGCCGCAGCTGCTCCTGGGACCAACTTTCGTGGATCTATGGACATCGTGTAGCTAGAAAAGCTGAGAAGACTTTTAGGGGTGTAGAGGTCCTTACTGTAGAAGGAGACAACACGGGGGGGGGGGGGCGGCAGAGATTCTCCATCCACGCCCCAAGCTGTCCCCACCCTCATTACCTGTCCTGGAAACA